ATAGCGCCGCTTACCCGCGCTAGAAAAAATCAGTCCGGGAACTTTCCGGACAAACTGTGTATCTCAGTGCATTTAAGCCGTTTTTATGCATTTTTATATGTAGCATCTCCGAGATTAATCTTCTGGTGGTATTGTTCGAAATCGAGAATCTCGACGCTATCTCACGCAAAATCGTGGCCCGTGTCGCTTCGGTGTCTACTTACCACCGATTGGCAATCATATATCTGGCGAAACTCGCGTTGATGCTCCGAAACTCTTGTACGTAATTCCCTACTAGATTGACCGACATATCGCGCATCGCACGAAGAACAACTTAATTTGTAAACAATATTGGCCGTTTTCCTTTTAGGAGACACAGTCGACACAAGTCGACACAAAAGTCATTCTGTCTTCGTTCAGTATTCAGTGAGAAACAAAGACAGAATGACTCTTGTGTCGATTTGTGTCGACTGTGTCTCCTAAAAGGAAAACGGCCATTGCTATTCGAACCATGGTCAAGCCTGTCTTTATGTACTTTGATGTAACTCTTCAAAGTATTGAAAGTTTTGTAAGCAATCTTAATATTTTTATTTCTTAGTAATCTGAAGATGGCACCCGTTACTCTCGATAAGTAAGGTAAAGTAACAAAATTCACCGGACCCGAAGAACCACCTAGACTTTCTCTTCTCCCAACTTCCACCGTAACTGAGTCAAGCCTACCGTTCACCACACTCAGCTTATTATTGAACAAATAATGACTTTGCTTAAAAACTTTGAAAATTAAGAATTAAGAAAAAAAACTAAAAAAAAAAAAAAAAAGTATAAATTGATATAAATTGATTTAAAAAAAATTGATTATGTCATAAGATTATGTTATAAGATAAGATCAATTTATATATTAGTCGATAGAGCAATTCTCATATCCGATTCAATTTTCCAACAAAAAAACTTACTTTATTGCATACAAATTCTGCTTGACACCAACTACCCGCTTGACTTGATTTTCAATTCCATCAACAAAAAAATAAATAAATTATTCTCAACCAAACTTAATCAATTTAATACACAAACAGATAATTCCATCAAAAATGAACCTGTTAAATATTTTGTACTACCTTTCATTTCAACTTTAATAGATCATAAACATAACATTTACAGTTCCAACATCCCTAACACAAGATTAGCATATCGCAATTTAAGTCAGTTAAATAAATTTATCAAAACCCACAAGGACATTGTTCCGTCTAAACAAAAAAAAATGTAGTCTATCACATCTCTTGTGATTTGTGCGGCTCTAGTTATGTAGGTCAAACTAAGCGACAACTTGAAACTAGACTTAAGGAGCACAGAAGTTATGTCAAAAATCGCAATTGTGATTCAGTGATATCCGACCATTGCTTAAATTCTGGTCACGATTTCGATTGGAACTCTGTGAGCATTCTTGATATTGAACCGAATTATATCAAAAGACTTACTTCAGAAATGATACACATCAAATTACAAACAAACAGTTTTTATATAATGAGGAATACTGAATTATTGGATAAGTCTTATTTACCGATATTGAATAAGATGGCGCATTAGTTACATCAGTTTAGACACATTGTATACACACTTTAACACTCACTGTACAATTTGAATTACGATATTTGTATCAGTACCGACAAAATTTTCGACATGACAAGTCTCTCTGTACTCGTGATACTGACCATGTTTGTTTAATTTACACATAGGATGTTGGTGTTATTATACGGTTTGTTATTATTACTGTTGCTTATAATGTTTTTTAATCATTGTGTTTTTCATATATGCGTATAATTTTATATATCCGATCATGTATACTTTTTGTCGTCTTAGATATTAATCCACTAAAGATGATTTTAAAATAAATCGAAACGTTTGGGACAATTTTCAAATATTGATGTTTTTTTTGGCACAACATCCTGCTATTTTGTTCATTAACGCCGTATTGTACCACTTATATATTGAAGAAACAACATTATCGGACAAAGTATACTGAACTGTTTAAAATAATTTTCGATTCCTTTCGGATAGATATCCGCGGTTTCAAATCGCTCTGGATAAGCTTCCGAGTCTCTATTCTAATTTCGTATCCCAAACGCACAAGAAATACTGTTAAAATTACTCCAGCATCTTCGAAGACCTAACTGCAGGTTTCTTCAACCAAGTAAACATTCATTCGCTCATTAACTAATTAACGATTTAAGTGGAACTTTGCAAGCACCCGTCTCGCGCGGCGGTAAAAGCTCGACGCAACCGGCAGAACCGAGCCTGCGACGAATCGCCGCCCTCGCTTTGAGCACAGCGGAGCCGGAAACAAGACTGGGAGAAAACGCAACACCGATAAATCAGAGCGACCTAACACAGCCAAATTTTCTTCCTGTAACGTTTTTCTTAGTTTGTACGAATTTCTCGCGTCGTCCCGCCCGAAACGGAAGTACGAAATCGGGACACGGACGGAAGTCCGCGAGATAGGGAACGTCTATATCGGCAGGAGAGAAAAAGATGATAAATCGAGCACACCACTGCGCCGAGCCGACGGATCCTTGGTTGGAATTTTGGGCGCCAGACGCGTGAGCGCGTCAAAATGTGCGTCGCTCGACACGATGGGCCGACTAGCTCTATTTGAAACGGAGAGGGGGTGGGTCTGACGATAAATAAACAAGGCTGTCCCGAACGAATCTCGGATTAGGGTCGCAATCAACCACACTGCAGATAGAGATAAAGAAATAAACAATTTATTATAACACCGCGTAATATTCGACGACTTGGCAAAAATAACAAAAAAATACAAAATAAAGTTCGCCGATATGATATGGCAAGATCGCTTTGTCGCGGCGGTGAGTGATTACAAAAGCAAATTAAGTAAAAGAAAATACTAAAGTACAGGAACAATTAACAAGGCACGTTACACCGAAGCGTGATCTATCGCACAAAATACCCGCGACACTCACACAGACACCCCTCACACGCGCTCAAACGACACACTCAAAACACACACACGACGATTCGTGATATCAGTCTTTTTCTTATTTCCCTGTAAGTCTCGATTCTTCCGCGGACATGCAATCCGCCTCCGTTCTTCCCGCGGACACGCAATTCGTCCTTGTTCCTCTCGCGAGCAATCCACCGCCCTCACCACCTCATCTACCCTCCAGGACACTCCGAGCCCTCCTGTCCTCTTAAAAATCCCACGGACACTCAATCTACACCAACTCCTTCTCTTCCCCCTTGCTCTCCTTCTCCTTTGCCTTCCACATCCGCGCAACCAGACGAACGATCCTCCAATTCCCGTCGACCGACCCCTCCACCGAACGACCCCTGATTACAATATTGCCTCAAACTCACCTCCTACGCTACCGGATCGCAGATCCGAACAAAATACCTTACGTCATCAACCAGTTTAAAATAAACCTTCCAACCTCTTCCGGTTAATCTCCACAACACCTCCTAGAAAACTGCTTCCCATTAAATTCCCGTACTTTGATGGCACTCGTCTGGTTTTATACTCTTTTTTTCCATAGCTCCGCCAAAATCCGCGAAATAATTGAAATCGATTTAGAATGATCTCAATAATTATCCCACGAATCGGCGTGACACACAAGCATCCGTCTCACTCACAATTGTAATAACCCGCCAGAGGCTCTCACACAATCTTCGTGTCACATACATACATTGTCCTTTCCCTCCTCGGAGCGATGACCCTGCTACTAATTGTAAATTTCGCGACACAACCTATATCCACACTACACAACGAACCTAAGAAAAACTATGTAAAATCACTCAAAATAAATTAATGTTTTATTCTACAATTAATTAATTAAATTAAATCGACCTCTCATCCTCCACATCCTCATTAGATCGCACGATCTCGTCCTTAGTTAAGGTACACTGTCTAATAAGAGCGTGTACGGCAAAAATTTTTTTAGGAAACCGTTAGAGCGGTTGTGTAAACACGAGCAGATAGCAAGACCCTCCCCCCGTTTCGCTTTGTATAGAAAAATTTAGTTTTGTTCGATCTTTGTCGGAGAAGAACGTTTTTCACAATGAGTGCCGCGTACAAATCACGTTACGAAGCCGTGTTCTTGTGTTCTCATCCGAAAGGGCCAAAAATGTCATACGCAACGGCTGCTAAATACATGAAGAAGTCGAAGACATATGTTAGCAAGTGGGTGAAACGGTATTCTGAGGTAGAAAATGTTGATGACCTGGAGAATCGTGGCTCCGCACAAAAAACGACGAAAAGGGAAGATAACATGATCTTACAGGTATTCGAGAAGAATTCTCAGCTATCATTGCGTCGTGGACAAGCAATTCTGCGCAAAAAAGGTTTAAATGTGTCATGCAAGACTATAAGAAAACGATTGCTGGCTCATGAAGTGAAATTTTGCAGCACAATAAAGAAACCGCTACTAACCGAAAAACACGTTGAAAAAAGATTCATTTGGGCGAAAGAAAATTTGGACCGTGATTAGGACAACGTAATTTTTTCCCACGAAGCTTCTTTTTGGGCACGTATTTCTATCACTCGTACATGGTGCACCTATGCCAATAGATCCATCCAGCGGACCGTCAAACACCCGATAAAAGTGCACGTTTGGGGATGTTTTTTAAAACAAGGATTTGGCACTTTGTACATGAGTAGTAAAACAGGGCCGACTCTAATTCAGGAGCTCCGAGGGTAATGCGGGGTATGACGTCACAGGGGGAGGGGTGACGTCATGATGACGTTACAGGGGGAGGGGAAGGGGTGTGATGTCACGCGGGGGCGTGGCTCCGAAGTTACAAGATATGACGTCACGCAGGGGCGTGGCTCTGACGTCACGGGATATGACGTCACGCTGCAATATGGCGGAGCAAGAAATGACGTCACGTTGGCAGCAGCCCCGATGACGTCACGCGGCAATATGGCGGTGTCACAGGAAGTGACGTCACGCGACAATATGGCGGCAGGCCCCGATGACAGTATAGCGATGCGGCAATATGGCGACTCCAAGGTATGTACTTTTTATATAATATATAATGGATAGAATCAAACAATATATTTTAAGAAACCACACAATGTGTTGACGTCTGCATTCTACGATGAGAATGCAGTGCGAAGCAAGACGAGTATAGAAAGTTGCAGAGTTGCAATTTTATATTATGTGTAGAACGTAGTTTCTTTCTAAAAATGCGGAGTAACTGATTTAGAAACCGCATAATTTGTTATATACGATATATTGTAATATAAAAGAACAACATACAGTGTCATAGTTGTAGATACGTATTTCAGAACATGCAGAAGTATATTTTAAGAAACAATATTTAAATGTAGTGAGACGTGTAACATTTATTTTGATGATGAAAATGCAGTGCAAAGCCAGACGAGTATAGAAAGTTGCAGAGTTGCAGAGTTGCAATTTTATATTATATGTAGAACGTAGTGCAAAGCGAGATGAATGTGACTAAGTTGCAGAGCTTTGTTTTTTAGCACGAAATAACACCGATGAAGTATATACTTTTACTTAATCTAGTTCTGTGTTGCAAGGACGCATTTGGGGTAATAAAGATATCGTTTGTACAAACTAATTCGTTTATTATACAATAATATATACGATGGCATAAGTAGAAGCAATATACGAAACAGAATACACAGAATAATATAAAATATATAAAATTATTCAATATAGTGTGCAGTGTAAACTTATTACAATTTATAAACTTACTACAATTTATAAACTATTAGAACTAAGAAATTACTATAATCTATTACAACTAGTGTCATGAAAGTTTGTTCGACAAATTTCCATAAGGTGTGATGTGTCAGTGGTCTTTTTTATATACACGCGATGTGTGCGTGTACTTATTATAAACTAATGTACTTACAACAGTATAAAACAGAAAAAAACCAATATAATACACTTATTGACACATAACAAATACAAAATATTATTAGTAGTAAAACCTAATTAAAAAATATTATTAGTATTAAATGTTACTATAAAAACTATTNATTATAACATGTGCCATGGAAGTTTGTTCGGCAAATTTACATTAAGTGATGTGTCAGTGGTTTTTTTCTTATATACGCGATGTGCGCGTGTACTTCTATAAACTAGTGTACTTAAAAAGTATAAAACAGAAAAAACCAATACAATATACTTAATTAACACATAAAAGAATACAAAATATTATTAGTATTAAAACCAATATAAAAAACTATTCTACTTCTAAACTTAGACAAATGTGTATTATAAACTATATTATACACTAATATTTGTATGATAACATTATAAACTAATAAACTATAAAAGTAGTAAACATATAAAACTAATATAAAAAACTATTCTACTTCTATTTCAATTGCTTTTATTTCATCATTACCTATAACAAGAAAAAAGAACATTTATATCACTTGTCTACTACATGTATTTTTTTGCTGTCATCTTTACTTACTTGGAGGCGGTGTATTCGCATAAGCATGAAGATATCCAATGACTTGATTTACCATACTCTCCATTTCTTCAAAGCGAGTTGTCTGTGTCTGCAGCACTCCTGTCAAGTCTCTTATGATAGCTGTTGCCGTCATTCTAAAACAAAATGCAACATGTACAATGTACAATGTGTACACTTGCAGTATGTGAAATATATTATCGATACTTACAACTCCTGGGGAAGCTGAGCTCCATTTCTCCATCCCATCCTAACTTCCGGGTCGTGTTTCTGCAATTCGCGCAGTTGGGTGTTGAGTTTTTGTATGCTCTTGACCAACATATTTACTGTGTAATGTAAGTGAGATGCAGCTGGCTGAACGATGGTCGTGTGCTGGATGCACTCTCGCACAATATCCGTGATATTATAATTTCTTGTAGACTTCTGAATACTACAATGTACTTGAGACTGAGTCTAGAGACTTGATGATACTTGAGTGAGACTGATGAGACTTGTCAAAAGTCGCTTCTTTTTATACTTCATCCTTTAAATGTGTTAAAAATCTATGTGTTAAAAGTCTGTATGTGTTAAAAGTCTTCCTTCGTATCCTACAGGATGTCGATGAACTTATATCAGACTGCAACGTTTGTACACGGTCTATCTGTTTCACTGCAGCTATACGATTATTTTATACCTAACTGCATATAAAACTAAAAGGTACGAATCTTATTACATCAAGACGCTCTTCATCTCAACGGATTATGTTACAGACGAACGTGCTGAAAACTCGCAAATGTAGAATTGGAACACGTGTTTTTTCGATAGCTTTAATTGCAGATATTTTATACGTATGCGGTTGAAACATCTAAATGTCTTGGTTTTTTCCGCATCTTGTTACATCAAGACGGCATCTCTCGCTCTCATCATGCTAGTCATCACTATGGATCATGTTACATACGAACGTGCCGAAAACGCGCAAATGTATAATTCTATGTAGTTGAACATCAAAATATCATTTTTTTGGTTTTTGCTAAATAATCAAAATCGTTATTGAAGAAGGAGTTATCTCTTGTCCAATCAAATGAGATAAAGCGGTGGGGTAATTAGTATTTAAGAAATCCTATCTCACGTTCGCACATCAATCGATTCTAACTACAAAGTGTTATAAAAAGAAACTACTGAAGAAACTACTGAAGAACTTCATAACGTAAGTACCGAATTTGATACATATTTGCGTTTGTTTTTTATCTGATGAATTGCTTATTGAATTGCTATTTTTCTAATGGTATAAGTCTGTCTATGCTGTTTAGACTATGAAGTTGCCACCAGAAGCTGAATGGAACGAGATGGAAGAAGGAGAGAATTATTTCGATTCGATCGAATGGTTCGACCAATAGATCATCCAGAGACTTATCACGATCTGCTCCATTGTGTTTGTCTCCATATTGCCGATCCAGAGATGCGAGTGTTCTATCTAGAGCAACGCGTACCACGACGACGAATATGTGTGGAATGTTACGAACGACAAGGACCAATGGATTTATTCGTTGTATGCACGGATACGCATTCCCTGTACAGCACATTATTTTTTCTACCGTGGGCACTGTATGACATGCGCTAAACTACTGTTTAAAATCGGTGGACCAGCCTATAACTGCAGAGCATGTATACTGGAATTCATGGAGAATAGACATCTGTTGCAAGCAGAAGATTAAGTTTTTGTAAACGAGCGATGGTAGCAAAGAATGAAATATATTTGTGTGCTTTTTTGTACTGTACATAATATACGAAATAAAATATTAAATAAATGAGAAATTTATTCTTTCATGTCTTGTCCCAATACTGTGCTATGAGATAAAGAGAATTGTGCTGATATGTGCAATGCGATGATGCACTAAAAACGTGTGTGTTGCAAAGATATAAAATTACAATATGCATAGTAAACATTCGTTTTTTTGCTAATTAATCACAATTTCAATGGAGAAGAGACTATCTTTTGTCCAATTCAATTGAAAGAAACGGTGGGGGCAGTAATATTTAAGAGCTCGAAGTTTGCGTTTAACCATTAGTTTACAGAGATAAAAAAAGAGAATTGTATATTCATCAGAATGGCTTGTATTCCGGAGAACTATCAAGAAGAATATAGATTCGAATCTGTTTGATTAGCCAGTTTTAAAGATTGGCCATGCTCGTGGATAAAACCGGAAAGACTGGCAGCAGCTGGATTCTATTACATGGGCGAAGAAGATAAGGTGAAATGTTTCGAATGTAAACTTGAAATAAGCAAATGGGAAACAAATGACAATCCAATGGCCGATCATCAACGGTGGTCCAGACGATGTCGATTTGTTGAAAACTTATCCTACGGCAACGTAGGCATTGGTGTGGATTCTAGCACAATTCCGAAAAAAATGGACGAAGCAGACGAGAAACCCACGTGTTTTATGTCCGTTTCCGATTTAGATGATGTTACCGAGAACATTCGAATGTTAAACAAAATATTGTCAAAACCGAAATATCCACAATTTGACACTTATGAAGCAAGAATCAATACATTTGAAGCATGGCCAAAATCATCAAAACAAACAAAACAAGATCTGGCAAATGCTGGATTTTATTACACGGGAAGAGATGATCAGACGTTGTGTTACTATTGCGGAGGAAGATTGAGAGATTAGAATCCGGAAGATGTTCCCTGAGAGTTGCAACATGCAAAGTGGTTTAAATACTGTCCGTTCCTGATTGTTTGCCAAGGACGCGATTACATAAACACAGTCATCAACGGAACATATTATACACAGAACAATTCAACCAATTCATCCGATAAAATACAAGAAGCAGACGAGAAATCGGACGAAGATACTGGCATATTGCAGCAGAATGTGCTACTTTTTATTGTTATAGTAGTTTTATATGTTGTTTGTATTACATTTTTACCTATAATATCTTACTTCTAATGTTTTATTTACAGTTTATAATATACACATAATAAATATGTATACGTATATATTGCTTATTCTTATAACGTTGTGTATACGTTAGTGTATAATAAATGAATTAGTGTATAATCAATGATTTTTTTATTATTACAACCTGTTGTCTAATCCAACTCTGATTTTCTCTCGATACACAAAACTAGATTAAGTAATAAAATATGTATACTTTGTCATTGTTATTTCTTGCCAACAACCTTTGCAACTTAGTCATATTTGTCTTGATTTGCACTGCGTTCTACACATATGATATAAAATTGCAATTCTGCAACTGTCTCGTCTTACTCGCTTCGCTTTGCACCGCGTTCCGAAACATAATATAATCACACATACGAGGTGTGATCAAAAAGTAAGGTGACTCTTTGAATTTCGCGCGCTCTGTACACTCTACTTTCAAAATTTTTTTGTTGTGTTGGTACACTCGTCACGATCATATGTTCACAGTTTTGACTATATAGCATGTGTTGTTTTCATGTGAGAGGCATAAAGGTTAGACTCGTGTTTGCGTGCTCGGCAATTTTTTGCTGTTGAAAATAATGGAGAAGAGAGTTTGTATTAATTTTTGTGTAAAAAATGGTATTAAGTGTTCAAAAACTCTTGAAATGTTGACAGTAGCGTAGGGTGAGTCAATTTTGAGCAAAAAAATGTTTATAAATAGTATAAGTTATTCCAAGAAGACCGAGAAAATGTTAACGATGAATTTCGCTCTGGACGCCCCAGCACGTCAAAAATCGACGAAAATGTTCAGAAAGTGAAAGAAATTGTGTTGAAAAATCGTCGAATCACGATTAGAGAAGTAGCTGATGATCTTAACATATTGTTTGGCTTATGCCAATCAATTTTAACGGATGTTTTAGCTGACTTGTGTGTCAGCGAAATTCGTTCCAAAACTGCTTCATTTTGATCAGAAGCAGCATCGTATTAGTAGTAGTTTTTTGGCCACAAACAATACTACCATCATGCCTCAGCCACCGTATTCACCAGACTTAGCCCCCTGCGACTTTTTACTCTTCCTAAAATTGAAAAGGCCCATGAAAGGACGAAGATTTGCGACGATTGAGGAGATTAAGGCTGCATCGCTGGAGGAGCTCAAGGCAATACCCAAAAGTGCATTTCAGAAGTGTTTTGACGACTGGAAAAAGCGCTGGCACAAATGCATTGTATCAGAGGGGAATTATTTTAAAGGGGATAACATAATTTTGGATAAATAAATGAATATTTTTTTATAAAAATAAAAAGTCACCTTATTTTTTGATCACACCTCGTATATGTGTAAGAATATGTCGAACAAAACATAATCAATCCACGTTTAATCCCGATTATACCATGTTCAGTAATACTTGAACCGTGTGTAACTACAAATAAACTGCAAAACAAACCACGTTCAACCTCGGTCGTATCATAATTAAACCATTTTCAACTATAATCAAACCACGTGTAACCAACATCAAACCACGTTCAACCATAATCGAATTACGTTCAACCATAATCGAACCATAAACAAACCACGTTCAACCATAATTGAACCACGTTCAACTATAATCGAACCATAAACAAACCACGTTCAGCTATGAAACCATGTTAAACCGCGTTAATTTATATAAACATATGCTATGGAGGAAAAGGATAGTAAATGTACAAAGTTGTTATGTATAATAGTTTATTGTCGTTTAGACCACCAATTAAATATTGTAAATACATTTTGTAATGCACAATGTTTCACATGTTTTTCGCATTGTAGACAATTCAATACATTCAGTTTATTTAAAGAAGCAATATCGTCGTAATCGGCATCCAATGTTTTAATAATTAATCCATGTCGTACGTCACTATCAAAAATATCAGCTAGCCAGTTACATTTTTTGGGACCTTTAACATAGACGAGTGAAGACGCGTCGTCATCATTTTCTGTGGTGCCGCAAATAGCTGTTGTAATCAAATTCTTTGCTCTGCGGTGTGCAACACATTTCCATCCTTCCAACGCAGACCATGATGATACATCATCAGCCAAGAAGCTGCTGATCTGTTTGATCTTGCGAGTAGACTCCACGGGAAGGGACTTCCAAAAATGTAATGCGAGAGAACAGTGCCCTTTCGCAATACCGCTACTTTCTTGACAATAAATCTTTTTCCGATTACAAATCCTTGCAGGTCTACAAACGTCGGCACAACCATGTTGACGTAATCGTGTGACCAACAAAAAACAAATACTATCTATCGTAAAGTACTTTCGCTCTTAAACGATTTTCAGATTATAGAGAGCAGAAGCGCTAATGTTGCAGTTTATGTAATTTTGCGCACTACGTTGGTTAACGGATTGTTCAATAACACGATTGTGCAAAATGAGACAATAGGCTGTAGTATTTGCTGGTATATTTTCTTTGCAATCGAATTCAATTCGTACATTGACGGTTGCACTTTTGACCGCCTCGTTTTGACGCGAACAATCAATGACCACTAAAGGACCAAATTGCAGAAAGTTGGAAATCGTGAGAAACGGAACGACAACACCACATCCGTAATACGCTTTACGGAAATGTGTGTACATATGGTACAGAACGGCATAGTTTTTCTATCAAAATCTAAATGCAAGTCGTCATAAAGATAGAATTCAGAATTGAGATAAAATTTTACGTTTGTCAACTGACAGTGATCAAATCGCGTGACATCTGCTGACATATCGTTTCTTTGAGCAGTCTGTAGCGCATGACGTATCTCGGTTTTTCAAGTTGTGTCGCCGTTTTTACGGCCCACGAGTGTGTAATCGTGCTTTGTAATAATGGAACTCATATAGATCCCACGAGCGAAAACTCATGGTCAAATACCGTCCGCTTTCCAGAGTTCGTAGCAGCGAGAGCTTCGTGACATCGTTCAATACTACATGTGGCATTTGCCATTGTATTTTAAATAATTCAATTTTTTCATCTAATTCTTCACCATCTATCTCAGAAACTGCTGTTATGCAGTTTTTGTCGTTGCGCGATTGTATTAAAATTAGTTTATGACGTGCATTGATAATCGTACGCTTGTAGTCCTCGCAGAATCCTAATACCATGCTGAGAGGTACGCAGAAACTAAAGTAACTATCTATGTCCGTATGTTGTGTAATATCCCATCCAGCATTCTTCATGGCCATGCTTTTATCATGTGTTAGCGATACATAGTTTTTGATTGTGCTGGTTATTCCAACGTTTCTATTAC